TATTATAATTACTACTATATATTGAGACTTTATTTATCAATCACTGCTATTCCTTTATTTGTTTCCTTGCTTCTGAATCACCTCCCTGCAAATAAAAACATGGAAAATTACGGAAGGGAAACTAGTTAGGTTAAAGGGATTCGGTTTTAAAGCAAATATTAAATTTACGAGAGATAAATAATATTTTTAGAGTAAATATTTTTTAAAACTTTTTATTGGTCCTCGTAATAAAAATTAATGGGTTGGGTTTAAAAATAAATAAATAAATAAACAGAAGCTGTGAATCTGGATCTAAAACGATAAATTTCACCTCTTGGAGGATTCTTTTGCCTTTGAGAAAGCGGTGATGACAATCTTGCAGAGTCTCTTAAAAATTTTTTCTTTGACTTGAGCCCTCTTTGGAGGAAATCTTGCCCCCTTTTTCTCCTTTTTCCAGAAAATAGAACCGGATGCTGGCATCGTGTATCTGCATACAGAAAGAAAACTAACGTTAACATAAATAGGAAGGTGAAAAGAGGACTTCAGACTTTATCAGGAATCAAGATACCTTGTATGGACACAGAGGAAAAAGGGAAGGAGAGATTAAGAAGATTTTGGTAAAGGAAGAGGAGGAGTTGTACTCTGTTTTGCTGATGATCTGGTTCTTCTAATGGCAACTTATTTATAATCATTCAAACCGAGCAAATTAGAAAGAAGAAAACGAGAAAGTGAAGAGAGGAATGAGCGAACTTGTTTGGTAGTGACAAGTCGTGGAATGACAATCGATTCGATACTCAAAAGAGCAAGAGCGCGTAATATTTATTTTTATTTTTTAAATTTTTAGTTATGTTTCTATATTGAAAACGCGCAGTTTTGGACCTTTGCCAAACACTCGTTGCCCTTAACCTCTTAACTACTAAGACTTTATTTTATCTAATTAACACTGGCCTTTTCTTACTTAGTTTCTGCACAATTCAAGACTAATTCTTGAACAATTCTAAAAAGTGCAATCTAATATTGACATTATATATTTTAAAAAAAAAATTTATAAAAATAATATAATTATAATATTATATAATATTATAAAAAAATTAATGACACGTTATATTTATTTAATAACACATCATAATTGTAAACTTATAATATTATAGGGCTATTTAGTATAGTAGTTTCATTTAATTCAATAAATAAAAGTGTTTAAATTATTAATAATAATAATTATCAATCATTGAATTAGATGAAACTATTAATTGTTAATTTCAAATCACTATACTAAACAACTCATATGTAACATTGTACCTGTAACATTATTATCATTTAAATTGATGCTTAAAACACATAGAAATTGAGTTGTTGATGTTATTGATTATAAATTAATTAAGATTGATGGTCATAAAAAGAAAAAAAAATAAGATTGGAAATAAATAGAGATGTTTATTATCAATAAGTTAAATAACTTAGTAATAATTTTTTTCAACAAGAGTAAAAGATTTTAATTTAAAGTCACAAGATAAAAAAAATTGTATTTACTAGTTAATTTAAAATGAAATTCCTCTTATAATCCTATTTCGGTGAGCTTAAAGGTTTAAATAAATATTTAGATTTTAAGTCTTGGAATATGACTTCAGAATTTAGGAGTCATCTTTTTTTATTTTTTTTTTAAATATTTTTGGCCAGCAATGAGTTCTTTACAACAACACAAATTCCTGGACAAACTAAGGGTGAGTTCACAGTGTATGAATTACTACAGATATTAATTTGTTATAGTAATAAAATTATTAATTTCAATTAATGTTTAACAATTATAGACTTTTACAAAACTTTAAAACAACATCACAACACTACTATAATTTTGAACATTGACACCATTCAACAAATTACAAGGCCTTAAACAAAAAATACAATCACACTTAAGTACAGTAATCTTGAGGAAAATTAACTGACCATTTATTCACAAAACCCTCCTTCTCTCTCACACCCAGTTGGTTTGTCCCTAAAAAAAAAAAAAGGCAATCCCAAACCTTATTATAATTATTATTATATTTTTGTTTAGCACAAATCGGAGACTTTATTTATCAATCACTGCTATTCCTTTATTTGTTTCCTTGCTTCTGTATCACCTCCCTGCAAATAAAAGCATAGAAAATTACGGAGGGGAAACTAGTAAGACTAAAGGGATCCGGTTTTAAATCAAAATATTAAATTTACGAAAGATAAATAGTATTTTTAAAATAAATACTTTTTAAATGTTTTGAAACGTCCTCGTAATAAAAATTAATGGGTTGGGTTAAAAAAAGAAACAAACCTGAGGGCCCGAGTGAAACTGACTGCAGTGGCGAAGTCCCCTGCTTCACGAGCCTTGAGGATTTTGAATACAAGAGCGAGCAGAAGCTGACTCCTAGCTTTCTGCTTCGCAATCACCTCCGTTTCCTCTCTCAACCTGGCGCATTGCTCTTTAATTTGTTCCAACCTCCCTCGTATTTCTGTTTGGTCTT